CCCTCCCATTAAATGTCTCACCGTCTCTTTCCCTCGGGCCATCATTTCTGTCAGTGTCTTTGCCAGGGATCTCCTTCCCATGTGGTTGTACCTACAGGAGGTAAAAATAAAAGAAACAATATTGGCAAAGTGAGAAAGAATTTCAGGTTCTGAAAAATTACTAAAGATTTGATGCTATGTATTCCAAACAACTAACATGTTGACCTGTTCTGAAGAAAAAGGATGAAAATGAAACAAAATTGAGTAAATCTAACTTTGGAAGGTACATCCATTCCCCCCCTCCCGCCGCACACATTTAAATGATTTGAAGCATACATGAATGCAACCATACTACGATCTGGTCTATTACTACCAAAATGAAAATGTTCTGGCGGCAGTATTGATAAAAAAAATAACACTGGACTTGAGCTAGTATATTTAAAAAAAAAAAAAAACTTACCGAGGATCCATTTCAGCTACAAATTCCCTGAAGCTCTCGTTTACCACGATGGAGAGTGGCAAGCTGCAGTTGACCACGAGTCTCAAGATTGCTGAAGATATTTGCTTCTGCCGTTGACTTGCCGGGGCATATTTTGTCACACTCGTGGATGCAGTCGAGACAAAGCTGTTCAGCGTCTGTTGCCCTTGGACACCACTTTTACCTTGAAGGTACTCTCTATATCTGAAATGATATTTAAGAAGAGGAAACAATGAGGAAAAGATCATCACATGAAAGCAACAACACAATTATTTTTTTTCATAATGTATGCATTTTGGTCAAACTATAATCTTTTTATCCTGCTAGCTGCTACAATCAGATCAGCAATGTAATAAAATTGAATTAAGCACTTCTGAAGGTAAGTAATCAAGATTTTCATTTAGGGATAATCAAATAAAATACTAAATCTAATAAAAGCAACACGACCCTCTGCATCTGGAAAATATGGACTGTTAGAATTTAAGCGCTGGCGCGACAGGGTAGTTAACCCTCACTAAGCTAAGGATGGTGGAAGGGAAGATAAATTACTTCACGTTCAATGCATGCAAAAGGAATGGACAGTACTGTACGCGGTACCTGAAAATAATGCACTTAGATAGACGTAGACCGCGGTCGATCGAACCCACAGTCTATCGGCCCCGCGGCCTTACCGGGCTGTAGTGTAGGCCGGGGCTGTAGCCGTCTAGCCGACTCACGTTTTTAAATGGTCATATAACAATTTTAATCCAACATTTGGGGGGCGACGTACGAGTCATTAGCTCCCATTATACATTCAATGTAGAATTGATAAATAACAATAAATTCATTCAATAGGGTCTACTTACTCTTCTTGATGTTGCCGTTGGTAGTGTTTTGTGAAGCCCGAAGTCGTACCCCTTGTCTCCACGATTATCCTTGTCATTTTGCACGTTTTGCATCTCGCACGTTGCTTCGCCTTCCCTTTTTCAAAAAATTCTTCATGCTCAACGAAGCCAAACTTTATTATTCGCGAATGCGATCCTGCTGACATGCTGAATCATACAGCTGTTAATAGGTCCAGGCGCAGATCCTATTGTGTTAGGTCAGATCCGCCACTCATGCACGCTCGCGGGAAAAAAACGTGCTTCAAAAAATCGCTGGTGTATTAGATTGAACGAAAGCGTAATACTAAGAGGAGTCAAGCTAAAAGTCTGCTTTAAAAAAATACGCAGATAAACATGTTATACACGGCAATCGAAGAAATTATAGTTTCGTTAAGTAAAGCAAGAGTTGCGATAAAAGTAATTTCTTGGGCGATAAAATAGCCAAACATGATGTATCACTTGTAGGCGAAAAAAAATGTGTAATTTTATATGTGTTCAGTTATTTCCGTTTTCACGGCCCTCTGAATAGGGTTTGTCAGTCGGCATGCAAGGATTACTCGCTCTGTCCGTTTTTGATCATTTATTGAAGCAGATGGTCGTTGCAGAAACAGTAGAATGATATCAGAAGCAGTAGCAGATAGCATAAGCAGATGCAGTAGCAGTAGCAGATGCAGGATAAGTAGCAGATTCAGAATAAGGAGCAGTAGCAGGTAGCAGGTAATAACCTAAAGTAAACAAATGCAATTTAATGAATATATCTACCTTAGGCATCAGAATGTAAATCTGTATAGTTGACATTAATTAATTTAATACCATCAACTTCACAATAATAATAAATAATTAAATCAACCATGATTTTAAACTATGTATTATCAATATTCATTATTATAAACATGAGAAAGCATTCAGCAAACGTAACTGGAATCGAGCAAAAGGACTCCAAATCCCAACGGCCAAACCCGGAAGTGAAGTGCCGGTATTATTGACTCCAGCTGTAACGTAAATTACTTGGTTCAAACAAACATTCTAGTGCCACCGCAGAAACGTGACAACTGTGCAAAAATAACTAAATAAAAGACACCACTGTTACAGAAAGACTTTACACGCTATTTAAACTGCCGATCGCGAACGGTAACTGACCGTGATTGAAACCAACTCTGATGCCGCTCTTTATACGTTGCGCTGACTGTTACCTGTCAGTGGCAGCCCCGCCCCTCTTTTAAGCGCCAGATAAATCCAACAATATGGTTGCGGTCCTCGGACCTTGGACCCGAGAACTTGACTCCGAGGCCAAGGCCAGGCACCAAGGACCGACTTTCGGTCCTCGAGGCCAAGGCGTGGCTGGAGGACCAAAACACTAGTGATGGGAATTCCAGCTCTTTTAGAGAGCCGGTTCTTTTGGCTCGGCTCACGAAAAAGAGCCGGCCTTTTCGGTATACAGTATATCAAATATGTATTATTTATATGGCTTTATTTATATTCTTCTGAACATACTCAACATGGAGTACAACATGGAGTGCTACAAAAAAATAAATTACAAAGTACAAAAACAAAGACCCATCTCAAAACAAGGTCAACAAAAAGTTCCAATCTCTGATTGTGCATATTTATAAGTGTTTAAATATTTACAGTAAAACAACATAAGTAAGCTTTGATTACCACACAACAAATTATAAATTAAAATTTGATATTGGATATTTTAACCTTGCACAGTCTACACGCTGCCTTTGAACTATCAATTCAGTTGAAATCGGTCCAAATTTCACTGCGTTGCCTATCCATTTTCTCACCTTTCCACTTTCCACCGTGTAGTTTTTTTCTCTGTACTGTAGCGCAATCGAGCTCTCTCTCGTCTCCCTGTCTCTCCTGTTCGTGTGCTGCTCACAGTGTGCTGCTGTGTCTCTGACTCCTCCCCCTTCTCTTCACTGAAGCGCGCGCGCGCGCGTGTGTGTGTGCGCGTGTGTGCGTGTGTGTGCGTGTGTGAGTGTGTGTGTGCGTGCGTGTGCGTGCGCGCGCGCGTGTGCGCGTGCGTGTGTGCGTGTGTGTGTGCGTGCGTGTGTGTGCGCGCGTGTGTGTGTGTGTGTGTGTGTGCGTGTGTGTGTGTGTGTGTGTGTAACCCTCCCTCCCTCTTCTGCCACGGATCTTGACCAATCACGTGCGGCTTTAACCGAAAGGGGGGAAAAAAACAGGAGGAAAAAAAAATCGGCTCCCATTCAAGCGGCTACCTCTTAGGAGCCGGCTCATGTCGTTCACTTCAAAGAGCCGGCTCTAAGAGCCGGTTCGTTCGCGAACGACACATCACTTCACAACACTGATTATTATGTTTACAAAATAGCACACTTTTCATGCAGGTCATATTATATTGTTGTATCTATCTGACATAAAACCCGTCCTTGGGGCAAAAAAGGTTGGGGACCTCTGTTCTACTGGATCTTACGGAATGTGTGTCACAATGTTGGGACCAGCAAGAATTTGTTTTTTGTTTTTTGACTGTCATTTTCCAAAATAATTTTGCTAGTCAGTGCTTGTATGATCCAGCAGGAACCCTTGGCCACGGAGATACAACGCCTCACATTTTACCATGCACTGGACTACTCTAATGTAGGCCTCATTCTCTGTGGGATTGAAGGCATTTCAATATTTGATCCCTCTCATAATGCGCTTTGCATTTTTCATGTATGTAAGAAACTCTCTATTATTTATTGAAACACCTTCACTGTGTAGAACAGAAATCAAGGGGTTTTCATGCTTCCCTACACTGTTCCAACAATTCCTGAACTGATTGCTTGCCACTATGAGAGTACATCACAAACTTTGCATTGCCCTACCATGCAGGAACCAGACGAAAGAGGTGTTCACTCATGCAGGGCAGTCAGGACATATACAAACAGGCAGCAACAGATTTGAACTCTGTCTTGTGAAATAAGAATGGCTAATTTGCTGCCCAGTTTGAAAGGACAGCTTAATCGTAAGCAGTCAGAAGTCCGGCTGTCACCACGACTGGATTCAAAAGCAAATAAGAGACCAGATAAAATTTGAGAAACGTGCTCCACGGGTTTGTTTTGGAGCCCACACAAATGTGGTTGATTGATTTGATCTGTCAATGTTTATGTACAGTATCGTTAATGTTATCCCAATATGAACATTTGTAGTGTTACCGGTGGAAAATAGGCATCTGCAGTTAGACACACTAATGTATGACCAGGCAAATTTGTTTTTCCCTCACTCTAATTTGATTCAACAAAATGTTTTTCACCATTTGTCCCCAATTTATTCTTGCAGTGTATATTGCAAAAAAAAAAAAAAAAAGTGTCAGTGGAACTACAGTGTGTGTGTGCGTGTTTATTTCATTAGTCCATCATTTGGTCTTTCTTTATTTTCTTTGTGAAAATCCATTTCCTTGTAATTGAACTGTGCAACTTTCTCCGTGTCGTGATTCTTATTTGAATAAGTCCAACGCTGTGATTGTTAATGGTATGAACGAAAGGCATTGCATGTTTGTTACTGTAGTGTATTGTGATCAGTCATCCATGAATGATTGGAGCACCCTGCGATTACAATGTGGTAGAGTCGTATATGAGATGAAGTGAGGGCGGGTACAGACGATCTCCGTTGCCTAGATGAGAAAGTGATGTTCGTTATTTGCGCTGCAAGATCTGCACACCACACTCCCTCCTGTGCCATGTGATTTTTAAAAAAAATAATTTTTCGGCAAAAAAAAAAAAACTGCTGGGAAGAACTTCAGGGCAAAGGTAAGGAAATGCAAGGCTGATGTTATTTTGTTGATATCTCCACAAATTTGTTTCACTTTTTGTAAACTAGATTTCACAAGATCATTTCCTACATTGATTTTAAAAATGGATATGGTAAACTTCTAATATTTGTAAATTGCAATTGTATTTTTCTGAAACTGTTAGAAATTGTTTTTTGAGATACATTCTAATGCTGGTTCATGAAAAATGTTGTCAAAGTTGTAATACATTTATAAACTTTGTACAAAATCTCAAGATGCTCATCATGGTACTTAAAGATATCATTTGCTAGATTTATTACTATGAAAGGACAGTGGTAGACGGGCAGAAAATGTCACGCCTTGGTGCCATCAAAGCTTCTTGAATTTATTCCCAAAACAAAAATAGATTTGGAGAAGTCAAACTGATAAAGTGATGCATTGAGCATGTTGAAATCATTTTCTGGTTTCCAGCTATTATCGCTCAGCCATAACCACAAGGTGGAGATGAGCAAGCTTGAACATGTACATGGTTGTCATCATTTATTCATAGAGTCCTGATTCTGTCATGCCTACGAGTCAGTCAAGTGAAAGAAGGTCAGTGCTGTGCTCTGTCACAGACTGCTGCGCTTTTAGCATGCACAATTGAAAGTGGTCTCGTGTCAAACGTGAAGCACAAAAACACATACAGCATTATGTTGGCGTGTCATGGCTGGAACAAATGCCTCCGTTATTTCTCACTTTGCTAGAGTTCAACTGTCTCCATTTTTAAAGAGGTCATCCTTTGGGAGTCAAGTTATTTTTGCTTTGCAAGACTACCAGTACCATTTATTTATTTATTTTGAGAGGCCAGTAGTAAATGACAGTTTGTTCTCCTTCAAATGTCCTAATGAGGAGATTGCATGTATTCATGAAATAACACCAAAAAATGCTCACGGCTCTTGGGGTTAATGGATGTGTCAACTGCTCACAAAATCAATGCGTTAAAGTTGTGATAAAAAGTTATCAATTTATAATTCTGGAGTTTGGATCAGAATAAAAGGGCAATGTATCATAATGAAATATGTTTCCCCAATAATGACAACGGTAAATATCGTTTTAAAAGACATCGCTTTGCACCTCAAAATGTAACATAGTAGGCGGTGTGAAAATAACTGAATTGTCTTCTCTCGCATCACCAAAGTGAACATTATTATCTTTCGAAAGAAAGGATGTTTGACACAACTCTTGAATCTCATTGAATTGTACTAGTGCACATGTTGAGAAAATAATTTAATGTATGTGTTGGAAATATTTGGTAAGTAATTTAGTGCCTTCCTTATCCAGCGACTTGAAGAAATAAAAATGTATAAATCTGACATTTTGCAAACCAATGTCAATGAGTAGTTGGCAAATTTGTAAGCATCACTCACATGGATCCACGTTTACCAAAGTAATTGCAGGTCGTTAGCAGTGTTTCTGCTTCCTAGCACACCTTGAGAAATGGGACAACAATTGATGTCCATGTCTGTTCAACAAGGTATAATCTTCTGTTGGCCCTGAATGTAACCTGAAGTCCAGAAAGTAGGTCTCAAAATTATAATAATCAAGTGGGCAAGAGTGCAAAAGCAATATATTTGGGGAAGGACATAAAAGAGTAGCTCAAGTGTACAATGTACATTTTCTGACATACCCCGAGACAGTTACTCTCCGAGTAACACTTTGAGGACTTGATTTCAGGACTTAAATAGCAGTGAGACTGCAGTTTTATTGTTAAAAAAGTAACAGATTGAAAAAAAAAAATCCACCCGATGCGTTTTTGGCTTGGACTGCTATTTAAAGGGTCAACAATCTACTTGTTCTTATTTTTCTGACCTTTTGCAGTGTTTAAGTAAAAAAAATTACATGAAGACACTCGGAAAAGCGGAGTCTCCCAGCAACCCCCTCTTTTCGCCACCAGGGTGCAGCAGTGTGCGAGTGTACCATGACGACCAGAAGGTGGCTTTTAAGATGCATTCTGAAAATGGCCACGCTGCAGGCAGTGGCTCTCACACCATGAAGGAGCACATCACAAACGGAGACAGTACATCATGCAACAGCACTGAGCAAAAGTTCAGTATGAGGGATACCAACGCTCAAAGGATCTCCATGTGGACTGTGAATTCCAGCACACAGGCCTATTCAGGTCCGGAAGACAATTCCACAGACCCACCGGAGACCCTGACCGAGACCTCCACTCTGAACTTTGTTGACGGGCACACCTTGGAGGAACAAGGAGAGAATCACAGCCTTTATGGGGTGACTATGGTTTATCTGAAGGAGTTTGTACTGATAGATGACGATGATGATGGCGACATGTCCCTAAGAGAGAAAACGGTGAATAACTTGACCGTCATGGATGGGAAAGCCGCGGACCTGGTGTGTGGAAGATTGGTTAACACTTCCAACGTCCTCGGGTCCCACTGGAAGGGTGAATCGTCGCCTTCTGAAGATCCACTTCCTGAGCACAAGACTTCACGGCAAAATCAACATTGCTGCTACTGCGCCATTCTATGACTGACAGTCTCAGGAGGTGCACCGAAGTCATCCCGAGTGCACATATTTAAAGCAATCAGGACAAATGACGTCAAAAGGGTCCAACTTTTGGTATAAATAAAATTTGTAATGTGATCCTAATAAAAATGTCACTTTTGTTCTAAACACAAATGAATCTATGCCCGGATTTCTCTGGCGGAATACAAAAAAAGTTTTAAAAGCTGGTTAGAAAAAAATAGAAAAAAACAGTGGCATTGTTGTCGATTTTGCAGTGAAAATTTCAAATGCAGACAGACAGAGCTAAATACATTTTTAAAGCTTCCGTTTTTACATCTTTGATACTTAAAATTTGCATGTTCATGTAATAGCAGGTTGACGGTTTTTGAGGGACCTGTGGTGCAAAACAGGTTTAATAATATTTGTATGCAGAGAGTATAATCACTCAAAACAAAACACGTGAAGCATTGATGACATCATGTACACTAGGGGTGCCCATTGCATCGTTCGCAATTGACTAGTAATCAGCGAAGGCTATGTCGTCGGTCATCGCATGGTATGAACTCATTCACTGCCACCAATCCTAGATTTATGATCTTGATCCAGCTGACTGTCAAAGTCAGTGAATTATTGAAAAAAAAGTAGACTCCCAACAACCATCCCTTGTGAAAATTGTCACTTGATTGACATCACGTCAGTCATACACCTGTTGCATGTGTCACCGCGCACGCCCATACATTGGTGCTAACTGGCAAAGCTAGCAGTTTTCCATTTTGTTCCGTCTACTCTAAACTTAGTTATAAAGTATAAAAATGATAAAGTATACAGAAAGAGTGAGAGGAGGATTTGTTGTTTTGCGGTGGGATCCGTGACAGAGTCTCTCGGACTGGCTACAGAGCAGGCGATGCGCCCGATGATGGTGAAAGACCCGCGGGACGGAGGAGCCATCCACCGGAACAGCGGCACGAGGCCAGGTGCCCTCGGATGGCGCGTGTTGCGGTTCTCGGTTGGTGCAAGTATGTGTGTGTGTGGGGGGGATTTTATAACTAGTGTGCATGCTGAAAAAGTGTGTATACTATGCTGTCCGCATAATTATCAGGTCATATTTTTTATTATTAATACCTTTTGGAATATTGAAAGTCGAGTAAAAGTTAAAACTGGGTGTATGTCTTGCTAAAATCCCCTTTTGATCGGCAGAAAAAAACAGGTTAACCGCATGCACAACACAATTCCTCATTTGTCTTACAAGGCATCACATCTAAAACAGTCACATGAAATAAAGAAAATAAAATAATAAATAATAAAAAATAAAATAAAAAAAAAGTGAAGTCTTTTTTGTGATATTCACAACATATTTTTGAACATTTATTCCACAAATGATAAGTATTCTCTGCTGTTCAATATGCTTTTAAAAGTGTCATCTTATTATGAGTACAACAAATGAGTGCAGTGCATACATCCAGCAAGCATCCATGCATCACCTGCCACTGTTCCGGGGTCAGGTCATCAGGACAGAAGGCTGACAAAAGAAGCCCAAAGATTCCGCTCCCCAGTTATTTCATCCAGCTCTTCGAAGGGGTCCAGAGGTTTTCAGCGTGTTATGGGGTCTTCCCTGCATGGCCCTCCTCTCAGTGATACATACCTGGAACACCTCACCATCACCTCATCTGGCTCCTATGTATGCAGAAAAGCAGCAACTCCACTCTGAGCCCTTCCTGGATGACAAAGCTTCTCACCTTTATGTTTCAGGAAGAGTCAAGACACCCTACAGGGAAGCACATTTCTGCTGCTTGTGTCTGTGATATTTGTTCTTTCGGTCACAACTCAAGGCTTGTGACCATACATGAGGCTGGGAGGAAAAAACGTGGTCACAGAAGTAACTTGAATATCACAAAAGTAAGAACTAAAAATGTAATGAAATTAAACTATGAAAATCATCAGACATTGCTTTGGAATAAACTCTTGAAACAGGCTTGGTCATAAATAATGGTACCCCCATTAAAGATTTCAAAAAATTATTTTCAACAGCAAATTTTAATCAGAGACAGATTTATGTGTACCACAATGTATTTTTTTACACTGATTTTTAAAAAATGTATTTACTTTTTTTCTAGCACATCAGGTTTTTGAGTTATTTTCATTTTTATCAAGTTTGTCCTATAAAAGCTAGCACAAAACAGATTTATATCCTGCGGTGTAATTTATAGTTATAACGTTTCAGAAAGAAAACCATTAGTTGCTGAACCTTCATTTCATAAATATTACTAGATCTATTACTATATCACATATTCTTACTATTATGAAAACCCGATGTGCTAGAGAAAAGGGCAGATTTAGAATCAGTGTTAAAAAAATAATGGAGAAAAGTTTCCTTGTATCTCTGATTTAAAAATGTTATAAAATTGTTGACCAGTGTCATTTGACCACAGGGACATTTTCAACCAAGTTGTGTCTTCTAATTGGCATCATAGGTGCCAAAACCATGTTCAGAAAATTTTTGATTAGACTTTGCCATTAGTGCGTGACAAGTAGTCACTGTGCTGTTTGGTTATATGATGTGCACCATACTTCACATGGAGAAAGATGTTTAGAATTAGAAAGATAATTAGAGGCAAGTGCATTAAGGTAAAGTCTACAAGACCATCTCCAAGCAGCTCGATGTTCCTGTGACTACAAGTGGACACATTATTCGGAAATTCAAGATCCACAAATGGTAACAAAAGAGCCCAGAAGAACATTTAAAGAACAAAGTTCACCAGTATCAGATTATACCATCCATCGTTATTTGAGCCAAGGTTATCATAGTTAACGAAAACCTCTGAAATTACTCCAAGTAAAATTGATAAAAAAAAACAGTTCCATTAACAAAATTAGGTTAGCACGTCTGCCTCACAGTGCAGAGGCGCAGAGTTCGGTTCAGCCCCATCCTTCCTGTGTGGAATTTGCATGTTCTCCTCGTGCCTGTGTGGGTTTTCTCCGGGTACTCCGGTTTCCGCCCAAATTCCAAAAACATGTGTGGCAGATGAATGGAACACTCTAAATTGTCTTTAGGTGTGAGTATGAGCGCGGATTAGTTGTTTGTCTATGTGTGCCCTGAGATTGGGTGGCAATCAGTTCAGGGTGTTCCCCACCAACTGCCCGAAGACGGCTGGGGTAGCTCCAGCACACCCTTGTGAGGATAAGCAGATCAGAAAATAAATGGATTGATGGATGAAAAAGTGTGAAACCTTGTAACATGTGACTGAATTATATTCTTATTTATAATTTAAAAAATACTGTGCTCTGTTTAAGCTTGTTAACTTTTGATGTGGGCTCTGTTTGATTTTATGAGGGTATGAGGCAGGCCAACAGAAACTGTGTACTCAAACGGATGGCACTGATGGTGTTGACATTCACTTCCCTCTTTTTGACATGAATGTGAGCGTGTGAAAGGTTGTCTTTTTGTATGCGTGCCACGAGACTTACTAGCGACCAGTCCAGGGTGTAGTTTGCCTTTCGCCCAGAATCAGTTGTGATCGGCTCCAGCTCCCCATGAACCTGATCAATAACAGGATAAACTGCATAGAAAATGGAAGAATGGATAATAAAGCTATTTGGATGATAAATGGATGGCAACCCTGGTTTACACAATTGCATGGAATTTTTCAATTCAAATTATTAGAATATATCAGTACAACGAAACATTAATTAATCTATTTTTTTTTTATGATGGCTGAAATAATACAGCATATTCAGCAAGATGGTATTGACTTCGTCATTCTGTACTCAATGGGACATGATGGGCGTGAAGACGTTTCTGACTTAAAAGGTACACTTAACAGGGGAACCATAGTTGATTTGCAAACGTTTTTGTCAGTGCTGTTCGGTGGTTATTTATACATTCTCAAAGTTGCGTAGATTGTGGGCTTAATCAGTCCTGAGCAGGGGGTACTGAAATGAGGCACTGGCTTACGGGTTTGAGTGACAGACACCAGTTAGGAAAACTCAACTGAATGGGGAGATAGCAGTTCGTGCAACTTATCTCCCCTTCCCACTGCACATCACCAGACCCCCCCCCCCAAAAAAAAAACCCTTGTCAATATAACACACCCTCATAGCTTGATGCATCCATTTACTATCAAGTCTAATGACAGACAGTTGCGTGAGGTATATTTGCGTCACAAGGTTAAAAGGCTATCAGGTAAACTGCACTCAGGTATTTTTCCGTCCATTTATGGCTCCCCGAGCAGTGGTAGGCGTCTTTATTGACCACAGTTTTTTTTTTGTTTTTTTTTAATCCGGCATGTTCATTTTTGAAGTTTTTCAGTTCAGTGGCAGTGGTTTAAACAGTTTCCTAAATGATGGATGAAATTGCCAAATTGTGAGAATTTGCCTGTTATCAACTTTCACACCGGGGGTGTGCAAGATGCCATGATTGTATCGCATGTGAAATGCAACTGAATGTGTCAGCATATCATATTGTATTCGACCACAAAACCACCGGCTAAAAGAGTACAGCTGGCAATTTTGAATATCCCCAACTTTATCTCAGTTCTGCAGTGTCCTGAGGGCACTCTCAGTACAAAAGTTCAAAATGAAAGAAGAAGTGGGAAAGAGGAGGATGACTTTCTCATGAAATGAAGACCACAACAAGGAGTCATTAAGCAGAAGATGGACGAGAGAAGCACAACTGTGTTCGTGATTCTTCTTTGTGGTGCGTGTTCAGGTGAGCGTATTCGTGCAACACTGCTGTTTTTGAGGATTGTGCAATGTTTCATACAAAGCCTCCAAGAAAAGGATGTGAGTGACAGGTGCTCTCTCCCCTCTCAGTGGCGCCAGCGGCTGCAAATGCTCCAGATGTGTGCTCTAGCTGCCATGTGAACGCCACATGTGATGACAAGCCTGATAACTCTGGAAAAGTTTGTAACTGCAAGTATGGCTTTGTAGGAAATGGAAGATCCTTTTGCCAAGGTAGGAACGATGCATCATGAAAAATATCCTTTTCTTTTTTTCATGCTAGTGTTTCTAGTTCCAGTGCCGCACCAAGTTCAAAGCTTTCTATTGGCTGAAGGAATTGGAAATAATGTTGACTTTACAATCAATTTACAATTATTTATTTCACAGTGTCAAAAGGTGCCGGTTACAGAAGCAGAGCACATTTAATAGTGCAACCACACTCCATGTGCACTCAGTTCAATTATTACATTACAAAATGTTCACTGCAAATCAAACATCTAAATCCTGATAAGCTAAAAATGACATTGTATCAAGTTATTACTGCTTTCCACTTTTACAGGAATTTTTGACATTCAGTGTACAGTTAACCATACATACAGTATATTGGTATGGAGTCCTTTTAACATATTTATACTATATTTGCAAATATGGAATCATTGTCATGTGGAAACATAATCATGTAAGAGAATTATGAGATCGAATGAAAGAGATGTATCAAAAGAAATATCAGTTTTCAGTGGCATCATGAGAGATGATTGAAATGATAATTATGAGGTTTCATAATTAAGGTTGGTAGTGGTGTATTGGCTGAGAATGTCATCCCAGTCTCAAGACATAACTTGAAGTACAGGTACTTAGTGCTGCGACTGTGGAATGAGAATAGTTTTCCTAAAAATAGTTCAACAATTTCATGTGGTTAAATTCTACTCTGCTGAAAACCCAAACCACAATAATGAATGAATAAATGAATGTATAAACATGAATGACAACATGAACATACTCAGACTAGTGGACTGACGGACAGGAAGATGGATGAATCATTGATCGAAAGGCTTTCGTTCAAACATGA